AAAAGGAACTATTGATGCTAATCTTGACCACAGAAAAAATTAGTAATAACAAACCTATGAAATATGTCATATCACGCAATGTGCCTTCTTGATGAACTTGTCAGTATGAATTAATTGCAAAATATACTACCTGGTAATTGAGTTGACCGCCTCATAGATAGACTTGTTTGTAAAATGAGAATTACACCTTTTTCCTAAGGTTTACATGTGAATTAAATAATATGTAATCAAGTACTTATGCACACTTATTTTTATTAGGTTTGACACCTCCAAATTACCTTTAGCTCTGTTTTCTTTCCCTTCTCTAAACCCCCATATATAATTAGTTGTTAAATTCTATAGATTTTAACTTTTTGAAGTGGCTCAAAATAGCTTCAATTTTCCATTTCTGTTATATCTCTAGCCTAGGTACTCACTTCCCTCAAATCCGTTTCAATAGCCCTTTCTTTCATTGATTCATTTATTATTTTTTTGTTCAACAGAATCATGCATCTACTATGTTCTAGGCACTGTGTGAGATGCAGATTGTATTGTGGTGAAAAAAACAGACAAGGCCCTTGACTTCACTGAACTTCTTTTGTATTGGGGTGCTGGTATTCAGCAACTACACCTCTAGTAAATGCTTCCAAGAATGAGGCAGGGAGAAAACCCAATGGGCCTATTTTCTTTGCCTTAAGTCTCATCTCCATACCTTACACATAAAACTGATGGAGTTTTCATCTTGGAAGCATAACTTTATATCACTCCTTGCCTCAAAACCCCTCAGTGGCTCTTGATTGCCTTGTGAGTGAATACCAACTCTTCTGCCTACTCTTAAGGTTCTAGATTGTCCATAATATAATACTCGGCTATTTTCTGAAGTTAAGTGGATTCCAGGTACCTTATAAAGATCTCAGATCCTAGCAACACTTCTCACTGCCAATCCAACGTCTCTCTCACTGCTTCTCCAGATTGGGTGAGATACCCTCCTTTGTCCTCTCATAATATCTTGTATTATTGCCTTTCCTCTAACATAAAACTCCTTTCCTCCTCTTCTTCCCCAATAAGCTATGTTGAGACCTGTACCAAGAAAACCTCTGCCCTGCTATCATCAGCCTCTTTCCCCACTCCACCTAGGCTGTACTTCACCATGATCCTATAAAAGGGTGGAATCACCTGACCCCACCAGACTATCGTGCTGAATATTCAGGTACATATACATATCTTTTGAACCACTTGCCCACTGTGAAGATCATTCACATAAAATGACACATAAACAATTCCATCAGTCAAATCTGAACATCCACTCATCTGACTCCTTGCTTCTCTAAGCTTTTCAGGTGGCTTACGGAACTTTCTTTTTTTTTCTTTGAGATGGAGTCTCGCTCTGTCGCCCAGGTTGGAGTGCAGTGGTGTGATCTCCGCTGGCTGCAAGCTCCGCCTCCTGGATTCACGCCATTCTCCTGCCTCAGCCTCCCGAATAGCTGGGACTACAGGCGCCCGCCACCACGCCCGGCTAACTTTTTGTATTTTTAGTAGAGACGGGGTTTCACCATGTTAACCAGGATGGTCTCGATCTCCTGACCTCATGATCTGCCTAACTTGGCTTCCCAAAGTGCTGGAATTGCAGGCCTGAGCCACCGCAGCCTGTGGGAACTTTCTTTGTAGGGTTCATCAGGTTCCTCTGTATTCCCAACCGCTCTTCCACATGCATTTTGAGTCCTTTCCTTAAAAGCAATCTGACTTTTCCCTGAAGAGGAGTGCCACTACAGCCCTCTCAAATGAAGGCTGTTTTTTGCCTCTCAACCCTTGATGACTTACAGCCAGGAGTTAGGGTAGGTAAGCCCTTTGACCTTAAAAAAAATTCTGTCTCCTGAAAATTTATGCTATCTGGATATATAATATTTTACCTGTTGATTTCTGCTGCCTGTAGTCCCTGGCTTATTCCTCCCCATCACTTGAAGACTTGAGCTACATCCCCACCCAACTCCTGTCATCTTTCCTTGGGACTTCAATATCCACATAGATGAGCCATCCAACAACGTAGTCCTCACTTTGCATGGTTCTAGTATGCACTGTGCAATTTTCACCACGAGAATATTCAAGCCAAATTTCATTTACTGTGGTTTAGTTAAATAATACCAGTTCCCCAACAACGTGGTTCACATTTCAATTATGATGGCATATTAACTTTATGTGAGGAATTGCATAAAGAACAAAAATCACAGCTAGCTCTTCAGTTCACAGATCACTATGTAAATAACAGACGGGCATTGTCTTAGCTTGGGCTGATACAATGAAATGCTTTAGACTGGGTTGCTTAAACAACAAATATTTTTTATTAAGGTTCTAGAGGCTGAAAGTCTGAGATCAGGGTGCCAGCGTGGTGGGGTTCTTGGTGAGGGCCCTCTTCCTGGTTATGTCCTTACATGGTCTTTCCTTGGTGGGGGTGGGGGCAGGGGAGAGAGAAAGAGAGAGAAGGAATATGAATCTTGTGTCTCTTCTTTTTGAAACTCTACTCTCATGACCACATCTAAATCTAATCACCTCCCAACGTTCTCACTTCCAAATACCATCACACTGGGAATTAGGGCTTCAATTTATGAATTTGCAGGTGAGGCACAAACATTCAGTCCATAGCAGATATCACAATCCTTCTTTCAGAGTCTGTCAGTTATTGGTCACTGCATGACCGTTACTCAGTTTTTCAGTTTATAAGCAGCAAAGCATGTAGTTGTATAGCTTCCTTGTTTCCCAGTGATAAACTAACATGATATTTTACAAAAATGGATCATTAAAAGGGAATTGGACAAGAAAGATGAAAGTACAGCGAATAAAAAAAAATGCTGAAATGAAATTAGACGTGATTAGGGAATTTGAAAATGACAAAAGCAAAGCAAAGATAGGATGAGACCTCGGCCTACGCAAAATGCACCATAGACACCACGGAGAAAATGTTCAGTGAGTAGAAAAAAGAAGGTAAAGTTGCTTCAGGATCTTTTAGTTTAAAGTGCGCTAGAAAGAGAATGCAAATTATGGCTGATATAAAAACTTTTTCCTGCTTTTGATTGAAGACTGTAATACATTTAAATTTATTCCCAATCAGTCTGGCTAGCATTCGGGCGAAGTGTTGAAGTTGGTTATCTTGCTGAAAGAAAATGATAATTACAAAGAGACTAAATAAAAACCTTTTTCAGCCAGTAAATTCTGGTTTCATCATTTTATGAATTGACTAATGTTAAGAGAGTAAAGTGGCTGGGACAAAAGGGTGAAGAGGCCCACAGGAAGTGTTGCTGATACACTTTGTATTTAAGAATGCCTGAGAATAGTTCACAAGATTGAAAATGCAAAGACAAAATGTTGGAAGCTAATCTAAACTTAGAATGCAGAATGACAATTTATGAAGACAGAAGATTAATCATATGAGAAGAGGCAAACACAGTTCACACCACTATTGGTAAGTTTTTTTGTTTTCTTTTGTTTTTTTACAAAGAATAAAGACTGATTCTCCATGTTTCTCATGTTTTAAATTATGGCATACTAAATAAATTAGTTTTACAATTAAAAAAAATTCCTGATATATGTCTACCTAGCAGCAAGAGAGTTTTTGATGTTTCAACAAAAGTTCTTAAGTGTCACAGAACAATTTAATTTTTCTCTTTGATTATTAAGATCACTTTGCACAATTTCAACTTCCATGGTCATTTTTATAGTCATATTCTACTATGCCACGCTAGGACTGTCTGTATGCTACTTTCTAATTCCTTAACCAACTCACATTCAGTTGCCTTTTACTCCTCTAGACCTTGCTCTTGCCAATATTAGTATGACTTCTGAAATCTTTATTTCAAGCAAGTTATTCTCATGCAATCATTTCCTGTCCTTCCAGCTCACCACCTCTAGTACCCTGAAGACAGCCACTCTCCAATCTTACTGAAATCTCCAGTTCATTGACTTTTTTCACCATTTATAGCCCTCAAATTTCCTGCCTTGTCCAGCTTAGATTTCATGGCTCATCATTATAATAACTCCTTTACAAACATACTTCTCCATTAGGAGAGGTGACCAGTCCCTCTTTTTAAAACATTCTCTCCTTTCAGTTTACAGCACTTTACACTTAGTTTTCATCTTTTTCCTTCTCTATCTTACTTCCACAAGTTGAGTACCTTTGGAATTCTTGGTCTTGGGCCTTATTTTCACCTATATCTGCATAATCTAAGTGGTCTCATACAGTTTCATGCTTTTTTTTTCCCCCTTATTACCGTATTTCCAGGGCCTAACTCAGTAAATGGTAAGGCAGTATTTGATGAATGAATGAATAAATGGTTTTTTATATCTTCATCATTGAACATAGTTCTTAGTTAATACTTGGCTTTCCATAAAATATTTGTGGAATAATTGGACATTATTGTTATACAAATGAGGAAATGGAGGGTCAGAGAGATTAACTAATTTACCTTTGATCACATAGCTAATAAGTGGCACTGCTGGGATTCAAACCAAAGTCTTAACTCTAAATCTTTGTTCTCTCCATTACCTCATAGTACCTCCCTACATATTTCATCCTTAACTCCTAGAATCCATCTTCATTTACCTTATTCTTATGCCAAACTGGAATGATTAATGTACCTGAATATGTCTGTTTTACCACCCCTCAGCCAGTTTGGGGCTTGAAACCCAATGTCTATTTCCATTGCACATCTACCTGTATCTTTCCTACCTGTCGTTAAAGCAGTTTTCAAATTCTATGTCAACCTTGAAACCTCCACTTTTTTAGTTGGTAGTAAACTCCATTTTTTTTTTTTAGTTGCTAGTTGTTTTCCCACCTACGCTGCCTTAAAGTACAATTGTATATTCGTACCATATTGTATTAGTGTTGAAGCTGTCTATAGGCAGGGATCTAATCTATACAGTGCCTCCTTAATATTCTTCCTTGCCTTGCACATTGGAAGACTGAATCAGTATTTGTTGACTCCGGAATAAATTTGTATTTGAATTTGTCAACCTAAATAAGAGGCAGGTTTGCCAAACATGAAAAATTTATTCGAGAGTGGGCATTGCAATGTAGAATATGGTGTTATAGTAAACTATAGGTGTATTCAGGGAGGTAAAGGAAGACAAGGGGTTTAAAAAGGAAAAACGAGGAGGATTATGTAAGTTGTTTTGAAACAATTATCCTTGGCTACAAAGATAAGTAACAAAGGGGATGGCCAGTCCAAGGTTGGACAGGCAGTTGCAGTGCAAATGTCCTTGAAGCATTTTTTGTGTAGTTTTGTGGCCTTTGTGCAAGGTTGTGGTTTTGGCAGTCTTTTGTGCCAATTATTTATATCAGGCAGTTATTAGTGAGAACCTTCCCATCATGGCTTTCCCTGACTCCATCTTCTGCTAGCTTTCACAATCCGGAGACAGAATCCCGGAGGGAAAGCAGTACCAAATAGCTGAAGAGTTTTGTTTTTTTTTTGTATTTAAACAAAACAAAACAAAAAAAAAACAAAACGCCAAACTCTATCCAGAGAATGAGATTGGAGGGCCCTTATCAGTGAAAAGTATTTAGTGGAAAGATGCAGCCTCTTCTGGGCAGGTTCAGACAAGGAGTGCAGCGGAAGCTTACACCTGCACGTGGTGGGGCGGCGGGCAGCAGGGCTGGTCTGGCTGCGGCTGAGAGAACGAAGCTGGATTAGCAGTGGCTTGAAGGCCCGGCGTTGTCAGTGGTGACCTCCCCGACCTGAGGCAAGTGAGCCTGGCGGGACTGGGCGTGTTAACGTCGGTGTTTGTCAGTGTGATGCGCTAGAAATAATCCCTTTATCTTTCCCAACTTTTGTTTGCTGAGTGTAGGCAACACTAATGAATGGAAAGGAGACAGGATTGTACTTTAAATCCGAGAACATTTTTTACTCTCCAGAACAAGTCATCTGCAGACGCAGGCAATGGAGTCCGTGAGGCCAGCTGTACGGCGGGCCGCCCCGGACCCAGGCTCGGCTCCTCACTTCCCGCTGTTTTCAGTGCGGTCCTAGAAGTGCCCTGATGCAGCCCGAGATCAGTAATAAATGCATCTGAAACACACCGGCTCCCACGTTCTCGCGGGGGTACCTGCCAGGCCGGCGTCCAGGCTCCTCCCCGGCTCCCGGCCGACCGCGTTCTCGGCGGAGGCATCCACCACGCGGGAACGCAAAGCCTCGAGGGCCAAATCTCAGCGACTTCTTCCCGCCGTGCCTCCCTCACGCTCCGGCGCGGGCATCGACAGCCCGCGGGGGCAGCTTTGGATGCTCGGGGAAGCGCGGCCCTGGCAGGTGGCTCCGCGGCTCTCTCGGAGCGTCGCCAGGGAGAGGGGCGGCCCGAGAACAAAGGCGGGCGAGGAGCGACGACTGCGAGCGCACAGAGGCGGAGGCCGCGCAGTCTCCGCGCGGCTGCTCCGAGCAGGGCGACCCCCGGCAGGGAGGGGGTGGGGCGGGGACCCCCGGGAGGGGCGGGGCAGGGCGGGGCGGGGCGGGCGCCACCGGGAGAGAGGAAGGGAGCGAGGGTGACGCGTGGAGGGGCCGGGCCGGGGGCCGCGGGGAGGGGGCGGCTGCGAGCGCGCCAAGTGGCGACGAGCCGGGCCGGGGCGGGCCGGAGGGCGGGCGGGAGGTGGGGCGCGCCGCGGGCTGGGGGAGCCGCGGTCGAGTACAGCGCCGGGCCGTGGGGAGTCAGGCGGCGGCGGGGCTGAGGCGGCCGCGGGGCTGAGGGGAGCAGTGGGGCTGAGGCGGCCGCGGGGCTGAGGGGAGCGGCGGGGCTGAGGCGAGCGAGCGGCGGGGCTGAAGGGAGCCGCGGCGGCTCGGTGTGGGGGCAGCGGCGCCTGGGCCCTCGGCGGGCCTGGTAGAGGCGGCGGTTCTGAGGCGGCGGCCGCGGCCGGGCAGGTTGGGCTGACAAGAGAAGCGCCGCCGCCCGCTTGGCCTCCTCCATTTCCCGCCCGCAGCCCCGCGCCCTCAGCCTCTGGCGCCACTCCCGCGCGGGCAGCGCGCTGGCAGCGGCCATGGCGGTGGCGGCGGCGCTGGCGAGCCGCGGGGCGCGCGCGTGGCGGGAGCCGGCCCCCGGGCGGGGCAGGCGGAGGGCAGGGCCGGGGCGGCGGGGCCGCGCGGCGCGGCGGCGGCGGCGGCGGCAGCGGCAGCGGCGGCGGCCGGGGACGAGGCGGAGGCGGCGGCGGCAGCGGCGGCGGGGCGCTCGGGCTGATGGCGGCGGCGGCCGGGCCCAGAGCCGCTGTCCCATGGCCGTGCGACAGCGACAGCTACCCCGGAGCGCAGTCCCCGAAGGTGAGGAAGCGGCCGGTGCGGCCCGACCTGACCCGTCCGGGCCCCGTGTGCAGGGGCCTCGGCCCCAGTCCACCGGCTGCCGCGCTGGCGTCTCGGGGGCGTGGGCCCCAGGCCAGGCTCCGCGCCTGGAAACCGGGGTGGTCGGTGGGCCCCAGGCCGGGCTCCGCGCCTGAAACCGGGGGTGGTCGGCCAGGCGGGGCCCCGAGGGGAGCCCGCGGCCTCTAGCGAGCAACAAGTGCGGGCGGGCGGGGGACGCGGCGCGGCTTCCCCGAAGTTGGCGGCCGGCCCCGCTTGACAAGCTTGTCCCCAAAACGCCTCTTCCGGGGCCAGCCGCGGAACGGAACGCGTCCGGGGCCGAAAGAGTTGGCCTCGGAGGGGCCTGCAGAAGCGCGCGTTCGCTCAGTCTTCATTCCGCGCATAGTTTGCTGAAGTGTTTGAAAGCTTACTGCAAAAAAACCGAGTGGCGAACGGTGTGGAAAATCAACACACTGAGTTGGTGAACTTAGTGTAATAACTAAGTAAATACGCCAGCGTCCGGATGTTTTCAGCGGAAGTCTTTTTTTAAAAAAAAACTTTTTACCGCTTGAGGAGGTGAAAAATTGGTGTTTGTGGAGAAAATGGAGATGAGCAGTAGAGTGTCACGCATCAAAAACGTTTTGGTTCCAAAGTGAGGCTATAGCAGTTTGTGACAGAAGGTTGGAAGGGAGGAATGATGTTTTAAAAGCCTCGAAACTTGAAATTGGATTGAAATGAGAAGGCGGCGGGAACTGAAATGCTTCAGAGCCAGCCAGCCTTCGCGCGGTGTGCGGTGTGCGGTGTGCGGTGTGCGGTGTGCGGTGTGCGGTGTGCGGTGTGCGGTGTGCGCGTTGGCAGGGGAAGCCATCCTGTGGCAGCCTAGCGGGGCTGCGCCTGCCCGGGAGCTTTTCCCGTTGCGCACGTCTGTCGTGCCGTAAGAGAAAGACTCGTTTTGAAGGTTCCTCAAAGGCCCTCGCCAATGGAAGTAGCTAGATTGTAAGACTCTGAATGCACATCCTTGCACTTCCAGCATTTGACGTCTGGCCCGGCACCTGGAGGGCACTGAGCTAGTGCGCCCTGAGTGCATTCTTGACCCCTGAGCCTTAAGAAGGATGTGATGCCTAGAAATTCATCTGATCCGTAGGTGGAAACCACCTGTAACTCTGGAAGGCACATCTCTGATTTAGTACATTTGGGAGTCTTTGAAAACATGGGCCTCTGTATCAGTATTGCGATTACACGGAAATTCTTACCTTATTCCGTCGTGTATTGGGAACAATATTTCTGTTACTACCTCTCTCTAGAAAAAGGCTCTCTGCCCAGATGCTCACTTTCTATAATAATGCCTTTGCCTAGAATTTGTGGTAGTAATTTAAAACATTTTTTGAAATTGTAGTCTCCGCTTTTTTGAGCACTTTGCATTTTTAACTATTTTTGTATATTTTTGAGTGTCTCAATTTTTTAGCTAAAGGGAAATATACTTAAGTTTAAGGACATAAAAATCCTTAAAATACTCACAAATAAAATAGAAAAAAATACTGGAATGTTTAAAATGAGTTATGTTAAAAGTATTGAATATGAAATGTTGCAGTTGTGATACTTATGCACATTTTCAGAGTAGATTTAGACTGTGCAGAGCTCTTTAATGAAATGCTAATTTTATAAGGACTGAAAAAGATTATATATTTTACTATTTGGAAAGGAACCAGTAAATTCCTAGGAGCTAGGGACATTTGAGAGTTTGTTATCATAATCATCATTTTAGCTAATATTTGTCAGATAATTCGCTAGTCCTTGTTCTAAGTACTTTTAATATAGTAGCTCATTTAATCATTGAATTAGCCGTGTAATAGGGGCTCTATTATAGTCTCAAATTTTCAGATGAGGAGATGCTCACAGAGAATAACTTAGCTAGTAAGGGAAAGTGCCCAGTGAGAACCTAGGCTGTCCAGCTCTGGCATGCCTGGCCACTATACCATATTGCCACTTTATATTCTTTTGTAGGATTCCTTTCATTTTAATATGTAGCAAGAAGATCATGATATTTAGCAAAATTGGATTAGCGTTAAAAGCTATATTACATTAAAAAAATTATGATTTTTTTAGACCTTAAGCTTTGGCTGAGAAGTAAATAAATCAATTTCCTAACATCTGATACATTTTCTGAGTGCAGTGTTTGAATTTATAACCTTGATGTTCTTGCCACATAATGTATTACATTAAAAATATATAAGCTGCTTCTTTGAAAAAAAAAAAAATTCCCCTCCCCCTCTCAAGGTTCTTTTTCTTGAAGTGTGTGTTGCTATATTATAGATTGATGACCCTTACTAGAGTATATTTTTGCTAACCTTTAGCAATGTAAGAAGAAGAGTGAGTAGTTAGAATTGTTTTCAGTCTTGTATGTCCCCTTTTCATGGGGACGTAAATGCCTAGTCAATTAAAATAGTCCTGTGAACCGACTCCAAGTTGAACTGGGAACTGTAAATGATCCATACATTTTTTTCCCCCTGGGCTTGGGTAGGAGAGTTTGCTTTAATCCTAGAGTGGTGCAGCAGTTTTATGTGTTTATGAAGAGCAGAAAGCATTTTAACCTCAGTTGGCAAGAAAGCAAAAGCAGATTTACATTTACGGGTTAATTGAAAATGTTCTTATTTTGATTGGATTGAAGATCAGTTTTAAATTTTATTCCAAGTCTTGCTCATGCCAAACTCTTGGTCCCTTTTAATTATAATATGAAGTTAATGCTTGTATGACTACTTGTCCTTAGACAGTCTTTTACTTATTGAGACTTACTGTTCTTTTATTCTTTCTCTAATTATTATTTTTGAATCTTTTAAATGTATAGGATGATAATGAAGATAATTCAAATGATGGGACCCAGCCATCCAAAAGGAGGCGAATGGGCTCAGGAGATAGTTCTAGGAGTTGTGAAACTTCAAGTCAAGATCTTGGGTACTGTCATTTTACCGGTTATTAATATTTTTTGTGATGTTTCTCTTTGCCTTAACATCCTCTCCCCTTTCCCCCAGCTCTGGCAAAGGCAATTATTAAAAATTGTAGAATATTTTCTTCCTGTTCTATAATGTGCCACCAAAGTTGGTCTTGCTACTGAGTGTAATTAAAAAACAATTTTATGATAGTAAAATACATACATACATAAAATTGGTCATTTGAACAATTTTTAAGTGTGAAATTCATTGGCATCAGTTATATTCACAGTGTTGTACAGCCATTACCACCATAAATTTACAAAACTTTTTCACTACCCCAAACTTTATAACCATTAAGCACTAACTTCCCTTTCTCCCTCTACCTAGCCCCTTGCAACCATCATTCTACTTTCTATTTTCATGAATATGACTACTTAGTTACTTCATATAAGTGGAACCATAAAATATTTGTCCTTTTGTGGCTGGCTTATTTCTCTTAGAACTTTGAGTATCTTCAAGGTTCATCCTTGTAGCATATGTCAGACTTTTGTTCTGTTTTTAAGGCTGAATACTCCGTTTTATGTATATACTGCATTTTGTTTATCCATTCAGATGTTGTTGGGCATTTGGGTTTCCACCTTCTGGCCAAGGTAGATAATGCTGCTGTGAGCATTGGTGTTCAGAGTTTGTGTTTTCAGTTTTTTTTATGCTTATCTAGGAATAGAGTAGGTGGATTATATGGTAATCCTATGTTTAATTTTTTGAGAAGCTGCCGAACTGTTTTCCATAAGGGCTGCACCAATTTACATTCCTACCAGCAATTCACAGTTTCCAGTTTCTTCATATTTCTCACCAATTTGTTATTTTTCATTTTTTAAAATAATAGTTATCCTAAAGGGTGTGGAGTGATATTTTATTGTGATTTTTGATTTGCATTTTCATAATATCTAGTGATATTGAACGTCTTTTCATCTGCTTCTTGGCCATTGTATAGCTTCTTTGGAGACGTGTCTATTCAAGTTTTTTGTCCATTTTGTGTGTGTTTTTTTTGTTGTTGGAGTTTTTAAAATATATTTTATGTATTAATACCTTATCAAAAACATGATTTACACATATTTTCTCCTATGGGTTGTCTTTTGACTCTCTCGATAGTGTCTGTGTGCAAAATTTTTAATTGTAATGAAGCCCAAATTTTTCATCTATTTTTTCTTTTGTTGCTTGTGCTTTTGGTGTCATATGTAATGCCAGATCCAAGGTTGTGAAAGATTTCTATGTTTTCTTCTAAGAGTTTTCTAGTTAGCTCTTATATTTAGGTTGTTGATCCATTTTGAGATAAAGGTCCAATTTTATGCTTTTGCATGTGGATACCCAGTTTCCCAGCACCATTTTTGAGAACACCGTTCTTTTTGAAGGTTACTTTTAAAATAGATGGGTGCATAACATAGTGTCACTTTCCTGTGTCTGATTTAGAGGTTGAATTGGCCCAGATCCTGAAATCTGTGCTCTGTTGCTCAGGATGGAGATTGACTATGATACCCTGGCACCTTCAAACTGGGTCTATTCTTTGCTTCTGGGTTTGTGGAGTATCTGAGAACAAACAGTTATGGTTTATGATATGATGCACTGAGATACAGGTTTTTAAGAGTTCTGTTTTCTCAGCTATTTATGACTCACTGAACAGTAGACAAGAGACAGAAGTTGATTATTCCTTGGGTGGATGAAATACTGGCTATGCATTTTAAGCCCAAGAGAAAGAATTCAGAGCTGATATCATCATCACCTTGCTTTGCCCTCATAGGTCCCTTAAACTAAAAATGCCTTCATTCTTAGCAATTGTGATTCTAGATTTTTTCCAGTGTATAAAAGATGTTATTTTCAATGTACCTTTTTGACTTGGCAGACCACATAATTATTTCTATTCCTTGTGCCTGTTTTGTAATTTTCTTTGATACACAGGAAGTCAAGTCATAGGAGGCAAATAATTTAAATACTTAAAATAGTTTTCAAAATATCCTCAATAAAAGTGATTAAAAATTAATGAAAGCCACATTTAATGCATAATATGTATTCTGTACTTAGCTTTAGTTACTATCCAGCAGAAAATTTGATAGAGTACAAATGGCCACCGGATGAAACAGGAGAATACTATATGCTTCAAGAACAAGTCAGTGAATATTTGGGTGTGACCTCCTTTAAAAGGAAATATCCAGGTACTAGTTTATATAATAGATTAATTTATAATCGATAGTAATTCTTTATGATACCCTGTCAACTTCTGAATTTTTCTGTAGATTATAATGTATTTTATATTCTTGTGCTTGCTGTTTTTCTTTTCTTTGTTTTGTTTTTTAAGACTAAGGGTCTCATTCTGTCACCCAGACTAGAGTGCAGTGGTGCGATTATAGCTGACTGCAGCCTTGCACTCCTGGGCTAGCTGTTCCCCTCCCTCAGCCTTCCAAGTGTCTGGGACTACCGGTGTGCACCACCACATGTGGCAGATTTTTTAAATTTTTATTTTTTGAGAGATGCGAAGTCTTGCTATGTTGCCCTGTGTGGTCTCAAACTTGTGACTTCAAGCTGTCCTGCCTCGGCCTCCTGAATTGCTAGGATTACAGGTGTCAGCCACCACGCCTGGCTGTTTTCCATTTACTACTATCATTCAGCATCTCTCTTTGTTATTGATAGTTTCTGTGGCTCATAAACTGATTTAAAAGCAAAACGGGAAAAGTGAATTTCCTGGGGAAAATTTTAGAATAAATCATTTTATAGTCAAGTTTGGGATTTTTACCATTCTCCCTTGATCTAAGGAATAGAGTTAGCTATATGAGCCATATCTGAATTTAAGAAAGGCTATTCCTCATGAACTAGTTTAGTATAGTTATTTATGTGACCTTCTTACTTTGGATTATTCTATTTTCTATTCTAACTTTTGTATCTTGCTGAGTTTTATTTCTTGAATTTGTAATATTTTTTGTAGCCCCTTTAATAATATTTGGAATATGTAATATGAATATTTTTAAAAATCAAGCTTTTTAAGCTTTTAAAAGATTTACAAATGCATAAGGTTTTGCTGTTTTTAATAGTCTTTTGATCTTTTTTTTTTGGAGATTTAGAGCGACGAGATTTGTCTCACAAGGAGAAACTCTACCTGAGAGAACTAAATGTCATTACTGAAACTCAGTGCACTCTAGGTAAGAATAGCTTTTTATGTGAATTTTTCAAGCTGAACATTTATGAGATGATATTGGATAAGTATATTCTTTCCTAAAATATTTTACAAAATTAATAGAATAAATTGAACTATTTAAACGCTACATTATTTACTTCATTTTTTATTATTGTTAAAATGAGCAGGAGAATGAAGCTTGAACACACATGTGATTCCTGACTTATGATGGTTCAGCTTCATGATGGTGTGAAAGTAATGCATATTCAGTAGAAACCATACTTCAAGTGTCTATACAACCATTCTTCTTTTCACTTTCAGTATAATGTGTAACAAATCACATGACATATTCAACACTTTATATTAAAATTTGTGTTAGATGATTTTCCCCAGCTGTAGGCTAATGTAAGTCTTCTGAGCAGGTTTAAGGTAGGCTAGGGTAAGCAAAGATGTTTGGTAGGTTAGGTGTATTAAATGCTTTTTCTTTTTAGGATAGTTTCAACTTAGGATGGGTTTATCATATGTTACCGCATTGCAAGTCAAGGATCAACCTCTATTCTATAACAGAGTATAATTGTCTAATTTTTTTTGACACAGAGTCTCGCTCTGTTGCCCAGGTTGGAGTGCAGTGGCGCGATCTCAGCTCACCGCAACCTCCATCTCCCGGGTTCAAGGAATTCTCCTCCCTCCGCCTACCTAGTAGCTGGGACTACAGGCGCACGCCATCATACCCAGCTAATTTTTGTATTTTTATTAGAGACAGGGTTTCACCATATTGGCCAGGCTGGTCTTGAACTCCTGACCTTGCGATCCACCTGCCCTGGTCTCCCAGAGTGCTGGGATTACAGGCATGAGCCACCACGCCCAGCCCTTGTCTAATAATTTTTACAGAGTTTTCAGAGTGTTTGTATTTTGTGGGCAAAGCTTGTACAATTTTCTTTTTTAAGTCGTAGGTTCTTTGCTGAGTGCATGGTGTGTGTCTGTAGTCCCAGCTACTTGGGAGGCTGAGGGAGGAGGATCACTGGAACACAGGAGTTTGGGGTTGTAGTGTGCTGTGATCATGTCTGTGACTAGCCACTGCACTCCAGCTGGGCAAGATGACGAGACCACATCTCTAAAATGCAAAAAGGCAAATTTTGTTCAGTTGTTAGTTCTGTCTGATTATGTCTGTGCTTTATTTGTAATCTTTCTTTCACAAACATTTTAATGCAACGAATTTTTTTCTTTTATTCATCCAGTGTTCTGTAGTACTTGTTAATAGTGCATTTCATTATTTAACAGTTGTTTCTAACTAAAGGCATATATGTTCAAAGCACATAAAATCCTAAAAATAAAATTGATTGAAAAATTGATATATTTGCCTTTTGCAAGATAATCTTTTAATTGCTTGAGTTTATATTATTAAGTTTAATTATTTTCCAATGTACTAAGATATTTTGCTTTGGCTATTGGAAAACCATTAAAATGTGGAGTGGTTTGAAGAAGTAAATTTTGAAGAGTGCTTTTGTTCACTTATCCTTAAAAGAGCTTCTTTATTTTTTTATTTTTTGGTCTAAAATAGGTTTAACAGCATTGCGCAGTGATGAAGTGATTGATTTAATGATAAAAGAATATCCAGCCAAACATGCTGAGTATTCTGTTATTCTACAAGAAAAAGAACGTCAACGAATTACAGACCATTATAAAGAGTATTCTGTAAGTAATTGAGGTGACTGGCATTTTTTATTTGGGTTGGGGAGAATAACATTTTATAAAGTTGTATGTGACTTCCAACTGTATATTTTTTTTTCCAGCAAATGCAACAACAGAATACTCAGAAAGTTGAAGCCAGTAAAGTGCCTGAGTATATTAAGAAAGCTGCCAAAAAGGCAGCTGAATTTAATAGCAACTTAAACCGGGAACGCATGGAAGAAAGAAGAGCTTATTTTGACTTGCAGACACATGTAGGATAACTTAAATTTAGTACCCCTGAACCTAGTTTATTACTTGTTATTGCAGAGTGCCGATTACCCCCTTATCATTATTTTTTGTATCACCTTTTTTTTTTTTTTTTTTTTTGGTGGAGTCTCACTCTAGCCCAGGCTGGAGTTCAGTGGCGTGATCTTGACTTGCTGCAACCTCCGCCTCCCGGGTTCAGGCGATGTTCCTGCCTCAGCCTCCCCAGTAGCTGAGATTACAGGCGCCTGCCACCACACCCAGCTAATTTTTTTGTATTTTTAGTAGAGACGGGGTTTTACCATGTTGGCCATGTGGTTTTTTCCTCCTCGGAAGTTGAGATACTATTTTTAATGCTGTGCTTAATAATACTCAATTTACATTTTTTTGTGAGATGTCTTTTGCTTTATGGTTGATAATTCTACTAAATGAGACTAATAATTGCTACATATCATACTTGCTGTGTGTCCCAAGAGTTTTTAAAAGAGATTTGCATGTTAATTCTCACAGTAACCATGTGAGGTTGGAACTAGGATTACTTCCATTTCATAAAGAAATTGAGCTACAGAGAGGTCATATAAGCTACCCAGATCACTCTGCTGTTAAGTAGCGAGCAAGAGATCCGTTACCATTCCTCAGAATAGGCCTCTAAAACGATAATACATAGAATTGAAAGCACCAACTGTCCTCTTAGGTTATAGCTCCCAATATCTCTTAAAGTTCTAGCTTTTCTAGGGAGAAGTGGGCGTGCAGTGGAGAGCATGTGGGGACTCTTCCTAAAACTTTGATTCTTAGCATGGAATCAGTTTTGTGTTTCTCTTTATGTTAACATAGGTTATCCAGGTGCCTCAAGGGAAGTACAAAGTTTTGCCAACAGAGCGAACAAAGGTCAGTTCTTACCCAGTGGCTCTCATCCCCGGACAGTTCCAGGAATATTATAAAAGGTAATTTAGTAGTTTTAGTTACACTTGGTATTGGCTATTGGTAAGGGGTTTCAGAGCCTTTTGTACTTGCCTCCTAACAATTTTGGGGTCTATAGATATCACCGTAAGATACTGTATAGGATTTTGTGTTGCTATTTTTCTCTGGTTCTGTGGTAAACAACACCCTGTAGTCAGAATTTGAATATATGCTGATGAAGTCTGGATGCCTCTCTCTGCCCATTCTGTTTGGGTTTGTCAGAGACAGATGCTGGGGGTTCTGTAGCACCTCACTGCTCAGGGTATGTTCTGTGGTCCAGAGCACTATTACTGCTCAGAAGCTTGTTGGAAATGCAGAATCTCAGGCCCAATTCTAGACCTGTGACTCAAAGTCTGCATTTTAACAGATGTCTGTATAATTCATGTGCAGGTTAGAGTTTGAGAAACACTGACTTTTACTGCAGAGAAGATGAGAGCAGGAGCAGAGGGGCAGGCACGGGTACCTAGGTGCCCCAGCCACATTGCTGACCTGGCCTGGCTGCTGCTCCAATCTGGCCCCTAAATGCTACTTATCTCCTATTCCCAAACTGAGTGTAACTGAAAAAAAACAGGACTGACAGAATTTTTTTTTTTTTTTTTTTTTTTTTTTTGAGACAGTCTTGCTCTGTTGCCAGGCTGGAGTGCAGTAGTGCGATCTCGGCTCACTGCAACCTCTCCCTCTTGTGTTCAAGTGATTCTCCTGCCTCAGCCCCCCGAATAGTTCAGACTACAGGCACATACCACCATGCCCAGCTAACTATTTGTATTTTTGATAGAGGTGAGGTTTCACCATGTTGGCCAGGATGGTCTCGATCTCTTGACTTTGTGATCCACCTACCTCGGCCTCCCAAAGTACTGGGATTAAAGGCCTGAGCCACTCCGCCCAGCCCATTTTGTTTTAAAGTCTCAGCTTTTACTTCAACCTTAAGCCTTACTCTGGAACCATATGTTGTTCATAATAGACTATTTTTTTAGAGAATAGAATTTAAAGTATAGTATCATAACTCACACTATTTGAAAGTCAAATGTTGGGCAGAAATTTTTTAAATTAAAAAGGTTTTTTAATTCAAATTTAAATCATGGGCAGCAGTTTTTTAAAAGTTTTTCTTCAATTTTTTTTTTTTTTTTTTTTTTTTTTGAGATGGAGTCTCGCTCTGCCGCCCAGGCTGGAGTGCAGTGGCCGGATCTCAGCTCACTGCAAGCTCCGCCTCCCGGGTTCACGCCATTCTCCTGCCTCAGCCTCCCAAGTAGCTGGGACTACAGGCACCCGCCACCTCGCCTGGCTAGTTTTTTGTATTTTTTTTTAGTAGAGACAGGGTTTCACCGGGTTTGCCAGGATGGTCTCGATCTGCTGACCTCGTGATCCGCCCGTCTCGGCCTCCCAAAGTGCTGGGATTACAGGCTTGAGCCACCGCGCCCGGCCTTTTTTTTTTTTTTTTTTTGAGATGGAGTCTCACGCTGTCACCCAGGCTGGAGTTCAGTGGCACGATCTCGGCTCACTGCAACCTCCGCCTCCCGGGTTCAAGTGATTCTCCTGCTTCAGCCGCCCGAGTAGCTGGGATTACAGGTGCTCACCACCTCGCCCCGCTAATTTTTTGTATTTTTAATAGAGACAGGTTTTCACTATGTTGGCCAGCTGGTCTCGAACTCCTGACCTCTGGTGATCTGCCCACCTTGACCTCCTGCAGTGCTGGGATTACAGGCGTGAGCCACTGCACCCGGCCTTTAATTTTTAAAAATTTTGTTTTGGTGTCAGCAAATTATTAAAAGTAATATGCAAGTATACCAACCCTTTTGCTTTTTGGTGTGTTGTCTTAGTTGGAGAAGTCCTGATCCAGGGTCGCTTCCTGAATGAGGACTTCTGAGGGTGAGAATGGAGGTGGCACAAAGCATTGCTGTCTGACCTAGGGGAAGAGGTTGCCAATCTAGTTTCAGAAAAAATAGATGATTAGATTTTTTAGAATACATGCTTCCCAAATTTGTTTACAATAATTTGTTACTAAAAATTTTGCTTTCTATATGAATGTTATCTTAAGTAATATCATGTACCATGCACTGGTGTATGAGGTAGATGCTGTTATTAGGCCTGTTTTACAAGTGGAGTGATAGCACAGAGAAGCAGCAAAGACCTGGGACAGTGGTGGAGGCGGATGTGAGCTGGCAGTCAGACTTGGGGCTACTGACATTTTATTTACTGTTTTGTTTTTTTGGGTTGAGGGCAAAGAGGAGAGGCGCATTATCTCTTAGTAAGAATCAAATGCATATTTTATGTAAGTCTAGTGAAAAGATGTTCAGGCTTTTTATTAACCCTACTTGATGACAAAAATTAAAAATTAACACTCTATTTTTCGGAAGCCTTTGGGGTTACTCAAGAAGTTTAAGGCTCTCTTCATAGGTCAACGATGAGTCTATTTATATTTAATAATAAAGGGAAACCAAAAATAAACTCTGAACTTCAGGTACTCACCAGATGAGCTGCGGTATCTGCCATTAAACACAGCCCTGTATGAGCCCCCTCTGGATCCTGAGCTCCCTGCTCTAGACAGTGACGGTGATTCAGATGATGGCGAAGATGGTCGAGGTGACGAGAAACGGAAAAATAAAGGCACTTCGGTGAGAACATTTCTCTCTAGTAGGAAGCGTTTTCTTTCTCTTTGAATTTTTGCTAATTGCTTTCCTGGAATGTTACATTGAACTTCTGTCATCACCCTCTCTTTGAAAAAGGATAGTTGCATGTAATTTCCAGAAAGTATTCATCAAGAAAAGTTATTTATAGTATGTTTTGATAAAAAACAAGCTGTGTGTGGCCTTTGGTCAGATTTATACTTAAAATCGCCCCTTTGTAGTTACCATGAGCAATTTAGGCAAGGATATTGAAAAATTAGCTTACAGTCATTTATTCAACTTGTTGTCTCTTTAGCTTAAAATATTGAACAAAACAGAATTTGATCTCTTGACACAGAAATGTAGTTTTCTTAGTTTAGGGGAGTGCATTAACTTAAGTTTCTTTTGCTTAGTCTTAGGCTTCCTGTAGGAAAATACTGTGTTTAGTAATATGTTGTGCAGTTTGTTGGCTTTTCCTGTGTGACTCTTTTTGTAGCAAAATGCGCTTGCAAGACAATGGGCGGCTGGTGAATTCTGTGGGTCTGAAGGAGAACAGAGTCCCCTTGATGGTTTCGGGCTTTGACCACAGTGATGACACAGGGCTTTGCATTTCTTTAGCATTGTGTTTTAAGTAACTGGCTATTTCAGACTTTTCATTGAAGCCAGTCTAAATGTGAGGTTGTGCTACCATTGAATGGACATTATTTCCTTGTCACCAGCAGCTTCTAAAACATCTTTAATAATACATATTATGCAAAATAAGATGCTGTTCAAGTATTAAAGTGGTGGTACAACTTTTCTCCTGTTACGTTGCTAAAAGGGAAGCTATGGCATGCAAAGGGTGATGAAGCTGACTTCCTTTCATACTGCTAGGAAAAGTGTAAACTCATCCAACATTATGGGAAAGCGTTTTGGCAGTCTTACCAATTTAAGTTCCACAGAATTTGACCTAGCAAATCTACTAGTAGAATTTATCCTAAGGATTTAATCAGATGCTGAAAAAAATTTAATTAGAATAAAAATGTCTGTTTGAGTGTTTACAGTATTTTTTATGCTGGAAGTTACAAATAAATTTTAATGCCCACAGTGGGTAATATTATATTACATTTATAGGATAGAAATGCAGTTCAAAGAATATTTAATGATTGTGAGAACATGCACATAATGCTTTTAAAAAAATACCAAAACACACACATGCCTACACACGCAGTGTAATCCAGTTTTGTGTTTTAAAAAATGAGGGCACAATGAGGTTAGGGGGTATGTGTGAGTCTCGGTATCTTTATGTACATAAGTGCACACCCAGAAAAAAGATGAAGTGGATATATTCATGTTTCTAGTCAGTGTGTGTTTATCAGGGAGGCTCTAGATAATCTAATTTTTTCATTTATAATTTTCATAATTTATATGAAAGTTCTAATTAGAAAATTTTAAATTATAAAATGAAGAATTAAATCATTAGATATTGAGGTCTTAAACCTTGAATATATGCAGTCTTTCACATCCTGTTGTAGATAGTTGAGGGATTGGCTCTGCATGGTTTAACATTATGAAAACACAAATGTGTACTCGAAGGAATTTTTTTTTTTTTTTAACTGCAGCACTTCATTTTTCCTGAAGGACCTTCTTAACGACTTTTAGTACTCAGTGAAAATACCCACACTTATTTGTAACAATATATTTTTGTGTGAAACAAATATGTTCCCTTGTGACATGGAAAATGATGTTGAAGCTGTGTGCCGTATAATAGTAGCTGAAGCGGATAATTGCGTTTTTGTGACTTATGTCAGAAAACCAAGTTGATGAAGGCACTGATACGAATGGAAGCAGTTTTATACCATATCATACTTAGAAGAAAGACGAATGATTTTTAACATAAGTTACTTTAGTCTCCACTGGAAAAAACTTTCTTACATTTAGAATGATCTTTTTATTTTTAAATCGATAAGACTTTAAAACTTTTTTTGAATGTTTTCCATAGTTTTCAAAATCCAGACTCAAATTTGTTTTAATTCCGAGGAATCTTTGTTTTTGCCTTTTAAACTCCAGGACAGCTCCTCTGGCAATGTGTCTGAAGGAGAAAGCCCTCCCGACAGCCAGGAGGACTCTTTCCAGGGAAGACAGAAATCCAAAGACAAAGCCGCCACTCCAAGAAAAGATGGCCCCAAACGTTCTGTACTGTCCAAGTCAGTTCCTGGGTACAAGGTAGAAGAAAAAAGCCCCTGACTCAGCTTCTTTACTGACCAGCCTCTCTCCCTGAAATATTTTAACCTGACTTTCACGATTGTGGAGCTTCTGCCTGCTGTACTTCACTAGCTGTTCTTCTATGGTGTGCCCTCTGTCTGCTGCTTTCTTTTGTGCTTTATTTCCTTGGTGGCTTTTCTGTCACTTTTGGCTATGGTTTAGCTTCTGTTTTCTGTATATGTACAATTTATAAGTCTTTTTTTTTCTTTGAAATAATAACCAGGCAAGTATGGGTTTTTAAAACATTATTTCATAGGCAGAAGTTTATATTTTCTTTCCTTGGAGTAAAGATCATAATTATTTGGCATTTTAAATGCCCCAGCATTTAGTGTAGCTAAAGCCGCTGAGCTGAAGTATGAGTGGGTATACTGTTAGACTAAGTTGCATTTTTTAGTGCCTTTCATTAAGGAAGATCTGGGTTTAATCTAAGGATTACTTGATCCATATGCTAAATTTAGCTAACTCTGGGATAGAAAATAATAAAACCTGTTATTTACATTGTGTGATTTTTAGCATAACCTTGGTAAAGAGCCAATATGATTCTATGACAAGAATTAAAACATACTTGTTAACTTGTTGATCTGATTATCCTCAGAGTAAAGTAGTAGGTTGTCAGCAACTATTATTATATTTTGAACTTTTCCTCCCTCTGTCTGCCCTTCCTTTTTCTTTTGAAGAAAAGGTGAGGTGAAAGGTGTGTAGCCTTATTTGCATATAGGGATTTAAGAATATCATAAAAGGAAGAATTAGCTGTACAGTTTCATATTTGGGATGGTGGTAGTAAAATATACTACCTTTTGATTCTTTGGTCTGAAATGTATTAGAACATGCTTTTATTGCACTTATGAAGGTGTATTGAAGGAAAATTTTAGAGTAAGCTGATGAGGAAGTTTTGCCAAGTGAAATTGTTAAACACCTTGTATGTCAGAACTGTGATTGTGATAAATAATTCACAAGAACAGGCTGAAGTTAGTCACCTTTCCGTCAAACTAACTAGAACACGTTCTAACATGTTCATTTACCTTTCTTCAAGTAAAAAAAGTGACCTATTAGTGTATTTCATGTTTTATTAGAAAATACTTTTATGTAAATAACTTAAATTTTTTTTTTTTTTTTTTTGTAGCCTATAGCAAGCAAATTTTAAGCTTAATTGAGCAAGGGTTGGCTTCCAAGGGTGGCTGCAATAGGCTGCAGCTATGTGATTTTTGTACTTGTTTTTACATATAAAGCTTATCTAATTTCTTTAAATATATAAATTAATGCTTAATAACTGAAAGCAAGTGAGCTCCAAAGATGAAATTTCAGAAAGAGTGTACATGAATGAGTGTGTTCTACTGGTCTGCTAAGAGCTTTAAATGGAAGTGGCCGCTCAAAGGACAGTGTCCTGTTAACTCTTGAGTGCTAAGTAGATCTTTCCAACAGTAAGCTTGATTGATCATGGGTTAAAAAGAGAGAATATTGAAATAGATGTTTTAATACAGGCTGGAAATGAACTATTTAACACTATCATTGATTTACTATACAAGAAATGATATAGATTAACTGAACCTAATAGTACTCAAGTAGGATATGCAAAATTTATATTTTACATAATCTGTGAACATTTTTAGTACCTAAAAATGTTTCAGGTATTTCAAAGATGGGAACAACCAGTATCTAGTCATACATTAATGTGAACATGTTTATTAAAAGTTAACCTCTTTATAAAAAAAAGTATTAATAAACCAAGATGTGCCTAAATATTAGGGTACTTCAAGCTAAAGGTCATGTTTTATATATATATTTTATATATATATAAAATATGAGATTCAAGAAAGTAATGTATCTGTCGGTTTGCTTAGTAAGATTCACTAGTGCTTGCCCTTAATTCGTAGGACAGTATTGTTTAGGTTACATTAACCTGAAATTTAAAGCATAATTATTAGGATTCCAGCCTATAAATATATAATTAAAATCTATACTATATTATTGCTACCATGAAAGTCTTATCTTTGGCTGTTTTTCAAGTAGAAAAGTAAGTGTACTGTGAGCCTTTTATTTGAGATGCTGAGAGCTATTAGGATGAGTATTTCAATTTTCTTATCAGTAGTGAAACTGATGATGTTGCAGTTATTTGAAGTAGAACTGATTGTCTCAACCAGACACACATGGGAGTGTGTTCCATTGGCCTTGGGGAGAGTGCTGCACATTAACCCCTCCCTCAACTGTGCAATCCACTGAGACTGGCTTCTCTAAGCCACGGTTGTTATCTGCTGTGTAAAGTCCTGGATGCCAGCACTGTGGCTTCTTAGAGAGGGCAGATGCTTTGTGTATTGAGCTGCAGCATTCATCATAGAAAATGCTACAAAGCTGTCTCTCTTCCCCTTCTCTCATGTTGCCCTGTTTTCCTCAAGATGAAGACTGTTGGGTAAGAAAAGCTAAGTGATTTAACAAAGCATTATGATTTAAACTTAGAAATAAACCTAGAATTTTTTGGTGTCCCTTTATCATAGGTGTTTAATGTATATTTTAATGATTGTAGAACTTGAATTGCTCTAGAATGTGAATGACTACCCTTGTGTTTTATTCCTTTTGGCTTTTGTTTTGTAAAGAATCTCCTATGAGGAGTTCTGTTTTTAGAATTTAATATTGTTTGGTTACTTCCCTGACTTTAGTGAAAGATATTAGAGTACTTACTATGCCAGTATCTAACTTAAACTATGAGTATTAAATAAGTATATCTTTTACATTTAGTACAGGTACCATAACCAAAAGAGATTTCTTAGTTTTGATGGATTAAGAGATAGCATTCTGCTGTATATTATGGCAGGTACAGATATGATTACAAAACTGAACCAGAATTTGGATTATAGAAGTGCACTTCCTAGCTGTTTTTTATTTAGGTATAGGAACACACAATGAGAACCTTATGTTTAGAATGTAGCAGTAACAACAGAGGGTAACTACACTGCAAGACTTAAATGGTTTGAGCATGTAACACTATCCTATTGTTGGGGGGAGCAGGGTATAAAAATACACATACAGGAAATTAGTTTAATAGTAAAGTTTTATATGTATGTTTAACTTCCATGATATTTATTATTTTGTAGAGACATTTGTGATTGTTTAGAGTTCTTGTTTTTATTATATTTATGTATAAGGTTGACTTTTTTTAAATAAATAAGCCAAAAATTCTTTTTGAATGCCTCTGTCATCTTTTGCAAAGAAAGATAATTTAAAAAGTACAAAACTTAAAATAATTAAGAACAAATTGTTTAGGTCTAACAGGTTATGAAGGTGGCAGTGAGACATTTCAAAGCTGGAATATGTACAAAGTTTGAGTTTTGTTTAGGTTCCTTTTTGGTTCAGTAAATTAGGAAAGACATGCATTTGGCAGGGTGGGAATGAAGCAGAAATGAAACAATTCTAATTAAAATAATTATTTTCCCAGTTCATCTATGTGTGTGTGCGTGTGTGTGTGTACGTGTGTGTGTATGTATGTATGTCCCCTTACCCCATTTCATTCTTGGCCCATGCTTGCTTTTACTTTTTAACCACTGTTATTTACTTATTCCTATAGCGTGAGTGAACGTCATTTCATAACAGTCAAGGCCGTGACGTTCGGATGCCCTCCCTCCCCTGGTAATTTTAAGTGCAGTGAACCCTTTTTCCTTTGTCATTTCCATGGGTTACCAAATATGTCTAAAATTCAAACACCTTCACTGGACCATGCATGTTTTTAATCTGAAAGATGAGTAGTACTCAGAGGGTCTGTGTATTTTTTAAGTGACTACAGTTTTTTTTTGCTTGTCTGAAAACTTACTTTTCCCTTTTATAATTTTACGTTATTTTATAGTAAATCCTTCTAAGTATAGCTTCTTTTATTAGACATGCAAAGAGAATAATCACACAACTAAGTTTTCAACAAACATTTATGTACATGCCAATGTATGCATGAGACATCTTTCAATTAAAAATGTTTAAACTGATTTTTAAAAAAGTACCACTATACCAATGAGGATAAACTGATTTTTTAACTTATATTTTATAGATCTAGTTTTACAGTTTTGGAAAAGAGCAGTTTTTAAAATTAATACATAAGCTGTTTAAAATGGTCTTCTCTTTAGAGTAAGTCTCACATTTAATGGTCATTTGCTACTTGGATTTTCTTGTCCAATTAATAGTGACATTTGGCATTGTATTTCGTCTTTCCTTCTATTCATTAAACAGATCTTACTGTGCATGTAGGGAGTATAGAATTCTACATTTAATCTTAAGAGATCATGCTGTTTACAAAATTTTATGATGAAATTAATGCTTTCTTCAGTAAGCAATCTTACATTGCAGGCAGATTCCTGTCAAGTTTTGTCTTTCAAAATGGTCATTAGCAAGTTATCAAAAGTAGTAATAGGGCAATAAAGTAACAGAATTCCTTTTAAACCCATAGTAAGCTCTTCTGGCATGAATTTATAGCCCTCTTCTACCCTTCCAGCCAAAGGTCATTCCAAATGCTATATGTGGAATTTGTCTGAAGGGTAAGGAGTCCAACAAGAAAGGAAAGGCTGAATCACTTATACACTGCTCCCAATGTGAGAATAGTGGTAAGTATTGAAATGTCTTTTTAAAATTTTAACGACCGTATTTGTTGGTTCAAACACTAGAATTTATAGTTTCAGGTAGATTTCAACCAGAGTCATCAAATAAATACACAGGGTAGATTGTGAGGCAGACACAGTCCATGTGTTTTCTTCTACATTGTATTTTCATTTCTCTTTGGTGATTTGACATTATAGCTATTCTCTGCAAGTCCTAAAGCAAACTAGCATTTTATGTGCCATATTAAGTTAAAAATTCTTATGTGAGATACTACTAATACTGGTTTTGATTTAGGCCATCCTTCTTGCCTGGATATGACAGTGGAGCTTGTTTCTATGATTAAGACCTACCCATGGCAGTGTATGGAATGTAAAACATGCATTATATGTGGACAACCCCACCATGAAGAAGAAATGATGTTCTGTGATGTGTGTGACAGAGGTTATCATACTTTTTGTGTGGGCCTTGGTGCTATTCCATCAGGTAAAGATTAAAAAAAGAACAAACTATCTTTGGGTGATAAGACTCTCCCAGCATTGCACTCCAAAAGGCTGCATAAACGTTATCATGACATGCAGAGCTTGTGGACTCCTATGTGCAAATATGACCAAAGCTGTGATTATATGGGTCACGTCCACCAGCTTTTCATTCCCAGACAATTCCAACTAAAGGATAAATGAGAGGCCAGAATGCCGAGACTAAGTTTTGGAAGTACAGTTCTATATAATGAGCTGGTGTTTTTCTACTGAAATACTTAAGTAACAGCATCATCTTGTTTCAAAGCCTTTATTTTTATGTTATCTATTTAGAAACTTAACAAAATGACTACGTCTTTATACATTTCTATAGAAATCGATTACAGATTTCTGTAAATTGAGGCAGCATGACAATTCCAGGTAACTTTAGAACAGAGTTGAATAAATCACAGTAATTGGACTAAAACATTACACAGATAATTGTGTAATTTTAGAACTTACTTGCATAGTTAACACTGTATAATACTCTTATAAAATATATGCCTACAATGAAGTTTCCTGGGAATCATTAAGCAAGCAACATAATTATTTTTCTGTAGTAATTCAGATCAAGTATGTAGTACAATTTATCATTGTGCTGTTAGAAACTTAAAAGTTTTAAAGTGCTGTCAGCAGAGTACACCAGGACTTGAAAGAATGCTGTTAAGACACACAGCTGCCAGTGAGAGAAAAAGGCTTAAAAAAGCCAAATTCCAGAATGGGTTTTGAACTTTTGAAGTATGTATTGAACTTTAGAAGTATGATAGTGTTTGAATTTCAGGAAAGATTGTACTTTTTTAAAGGTCCATATCACTGTATGGCATTGCATCTCTCCCATCCCTCTTGACTTGCAATGAATTTTGCATGGCATTGATTACAAGTTTATATTTTTCTCCTTAAATTAAGGAACTCATAGTGCCCTTCTCACCACAGAATCCACAGAGGAATATCATTAGTGATAGCTAAGGAAGAAGAGTTTAGATGGGCTTAAAATTCAGTCCTGTAAAGATAATTTTTCATTCCATATTAACAATTTTTTTCCTAGGTCGCTGGATTTGTGACTGTTGTCAGCGGGCCCCCCCAACACCCAGGAAAGTGGGCAGAAGGGGGAAAAACAGCAAAGAGGGATAAAATAGTTTTTGACTCTAATACTGTGTATGCATTTAAGTGGAATATTTGGTGCCAATTTATTTACAACATTTTCATTTTTATGCCAATAAAAGATTTTTTTTTTTTGCAAATTATGAGCTTAAAATCTGCAGTTGATTTATTTCTGTTAAAAGCTACTCTTACCCTCTAAACTAATTCCAGGTAGAGAAATCATCTTCCGAAGTATTTTATAGTAACCCTGGCTCACTCCAAAAATTCAGTGGAAATGTTTAGCAACTTAAGATACTTAACTATTTCTCCATAGCCCCAAAAGTTAATTTTCATGAAACTTCCTAATCTACATTGTTTCTGGCCTACCATAGGTAGCATTAACAAAGTTATTTAATAACTAAAGAATTTTCATAGGTATGACAAATGGCCTAATAAGATTTGGTGCAACTGGATTTAGAGTTGTCATTATTGGACTGGTACAGGAACAGAGTTTGTAAATACCTGCCTGCCAGGAAATCACTTTTGTATAGAAAAGTACCATCCCTACTTGGGGTACAGGCACGAGGCTTTAGTCCAGGCTCAGGGAAGTGTACATAAATCATTTCCAACTTGATTTTAGTAACTCTTGAAAACGTACACCTTGAACTTCGCTTAGAATCTCCAGAGTAAAATTACAAAGTATCAACCTTTGATCTGTGTCACAGCATGAAAGGTTGCTCTACTTTTTTTTATATATATAAACCTAAGTTACTGCAATTATTTTTAGTCAACCTGCCTAATGAAAATGGAGTCTAAACACTTTATCGTGCACAGTCCTTTTACAGGAATTTTGATATTTAAAAGAAAATACTGTGCTTGCTGCTTTTCCTATTTTTTGGGGTAACTGAGGTAACAAAACTGTGTATGGCTTTATTTTTCCATCCCTTGACTAGAAAAAGGTAACTAGAACTTCAACCAAATACAAGTACCAAGATTCACAGCAAACTGCAATCAGCTTCAGGAGGGTTTTATACCCCAGAGCGTGGTCAATGACTCAAAAGAGAATTTCAAGTACCAGTTTCAAAATGCTAATTAATATCGTCCAGAGAACAGATTCCTCCTCTTGCGAGGCGTCTTCCGGGGCACGAGCGTGCTTCTGGCCGGCATCTGCACCGTCGGCGGGGTAGGAGGCCTCGCCGAACGGGTGCTGCTCGACCGTGCCGTCGTAGTACACCTTCATCTCGAACTCGCTCTCCAGGTGGGATGGGTGTCCGTAGACGCCGATGCCCACTGGGCGCCGGAAGTGCGCGGGGATGGACACAGCGTCCGGGCCGCAGGTGGCCGACTGCAGCTCGTAGTCGTCGAAGCTGGGGTGCAGGCTGCTGGCCGAGACGTACAGGTCCGCATCGCCCTTGAGGCTGCGCATCCTGAGGACTATCTTGCCCTCGTGGTTCAGCCGCAAGTAGCTGTAGTTCCCGGCGCCTATCTGGCCCTGGACGACGTGCAGGAGCACCCACTCCTCGGGGACCTCCTCCTCGTCCGCGCAGCTCCCCGGGGACAGGATCTGCGAGGTCAGGAGCAGCAGCAGGGCCGTCGTCCAGGGCGCGGCCCTCCCGCGGGGAGCGGCCATGGCTGGCGGCTCAGCTCCGGGGTCTGCAAGTGGGTCAGTGCTGCTGGGGACACGGGAGGCGCTCAGTACCGGAGCCCGTCCCCGTCGTCCGCCCGCGGGGCCACGGCGCGTCCAGGCGCCGGGTCTGTCGCTGGGACTGTCCCTTCCCACCCGCGTGAGGGCCCGGGAAGAGGGGGTGGGCTAACCCTTCCCCCTAGCGCGGCGTCCACCAGGGGCAGGGGCAGGGCCGCTATGGCACTCTCGGACTCACCACCGCTCCCCACAAGGGGCCGAACCTTACGCATCTGGACCCGAGGCCGGAGCCTCGCCAGGGAGGCGGAAGTGACGCTAGGCCCGGAAGTGAGGAGGCCGGAAGCGAGGCCTCGCCTGCTGCCGCGAGATAGTGAAAGGGGCGTGGACGCTAGGGGCTGCAGGCTAGTAACCATAGCGGCGCGCGTGAGTCGGCGGGCTAGTAACCATAGCGGCGGGCGTGGGGCGGAGCGTGGCTCGCTAGTTCCCTGCGTGCCCTCCTGGGAGCTGGGTGCCGTGAGTCCTCTCCAGCGGGCTGCTCTCGGCGCGGAATCCGAGCTGCTGCTCTGGGGCGTGTGCCTAGGGCTCGGGGCAGGAGCGCGGGTGCTGCGCGGGTGCTCCGCGGGTGCTCGCGGCTCCGCTGAGGTCTCTATGAAAGGGGGCGATTTGAGGGTTCCGCCGTGACCGCTCCCAACGGCGGAGACGCGCGCTCTGGACCAGAGCCGTTGCCCGCTGTCTCGTCACCCCAAGCCGCCTCCTGACGCCGTGCCGGTGCGAGGGTCTCCAGGGGAATTCGGGGCACAAATCGGGCCCGAGCGTCCGGGCTGCCGTGGCACCAAGGCGCAGGATCGGCGCTTTGAGAACTGAGCGCCTGTGGAGTTCGGAGGAAAAGGACGCAGGTGGTTATTTAAAGCAGCTATGTATAAAGCGAACTCAGACCTCTTTAAAAGATTCAGTAGTTTAGGAACGAACCAGGGCTGTGGAAATGCCCGTCATTCTGTGCTCCGAGGGTGGGAGCGTGGACCCTGAGGGCTCCTGAATTATGCCCCACTGGCCTTTCACCTTGCATGGTAATTACCAGGCTAGGTTTTCCTAACTCGAGTCAAACAGCAAGTTTCTGGCTTGCTTAGACACTAAAAGAAAAAAATTTCGATCTTTTCTAATCAGAAGCGAGTAATTTTCTCTTTCTAAAAATCCTGGGCAGAAGGAAATGCCCAGGATTTTATCAGTGGTACTCCTCGAGTAGTAGAGAGTTCATCTTTTTATGTATTTCTAAATTTTCTACAATTTACACACACTCTACCAGTAAAGGGGTATTAAGTCTACAGCTTCCAGTTTATCTGGAATTACTGCCTTGTGTTTACTGACTTGACTTTAAGACAATGGTTTCTTTAACAGTCACTTGCCACTGCTTTTTCCTGAAGTGCTTACCTAGTCTTAGGTGCACTAGAATCTCACTAAAGTAATAAATTTAGTTTATTTTCCCTACTTGTTCTGTGCACATGCGTACACGGATATCGCTGGGGATATCCTATAGCATTGATTATCCCCTAGGGTTGGCACAGCAGGGAGAGGAGGTGGGGATAGTCCAATTCCGTGTGTTGGCTGCTAATGCTTATTCTTTGCAATAATTTACTGTAGGGCTGCAGGATGAGTAAGCCTGTGGTCCGTTTTCCACATTATTACAGGTTGTTGCAGTTGAACTGTTTGTCACTGCCTAAGGTGAGTCTTGAGCTTTTACCCTCCTGAGTTTGTTTCTGTGTTCCATCAGTCACTCAGCAACATCCTACAGTGTCACTGAAGCATCCTGCTTCAAGGTACCCACATCAGTCAAGGTAGGCTGACAGAAGGGACCTCAGCTTCATGCAATAAATGTTTCTCTCTTGCTTACACAGCAGTCCAGCCTGGTGTCCTGGTCACCCTTTAGTGGGAGCAGCACAGGCCGCCAGGTGCCACCACCGTGGCCCCTCTTCTTAGCCTTTGGAGCCCTCCGCCTCCAGCGTGAAGGGCTGTGCACGGGCTATGACAGGACCAAGCCTGTGCATGTATGGTATGTTTTCCAGAGCAGAAATGGGTGCACAGCTACCCTCGACTCCAGAGGGGCTGGAAATGTGGTCCTGCCATGTTCTTAGTGGTTCCAGGGAAGAAGCAGAAAGAGCTTGGGAAAACTGCCAGACCACAGAAATAGAAAAATGAATATTTTAACAGAAAAATAACTTTCTACGGAAATGATTTTAGGGGCCATCTGACCTCTGTTCAATGCGAGGATAGGTTGGGGTTCAGTTAGCTGCCCTGGATTCATGTCCTGGACACAGACATGTATGTGTGTGTGTGTGTGTGTGTGTGTGTGTGTGTGTGTCAGTGTGTCCCTGACAATGATTCTGCCTGCACCAGACACTCCTTCATCCCCGTCTGCACCACCCTGCCATGGAGCAGGAGAGGCAGGAGAGGTAGGCCTTGAAGCCGAGTACACTGAGGCAGAGGTAGGCATTGAAGCCGAGAACACTGAGGAACGAGGAGAGGTAGGCATTGAAACCGAGAACACAGGAATGGGCAGAGGTAGACATTGAAGCTGAGAACACTGAGGCAGAAGTAGGCATTGAGGTGTTGGGCAGCTGGAGAGGTGGAACGTCAGCTCGTGCATGCTGGGGCCAGACTGACCCAGAGGTTCTGAGCGCAGGCTAGTACTTCCTCCTGAAGGTGGCTTATGTGTTCTGACAAGGCTTCTTCCCTCTTTGGCTTCACACCATTGTTTTCTGTGAACTCTTCACACTAGTGAGTCATGGTGTTATTTCTTTACTATACACACATCAGGAAATGCAAGCACATTCATATTCTGTCTTTATTTTGGAAATAATTCCAGCGATGTCAGACGTTGGGTGTCAGGAGATGGTTTTTTGTTGTTTCTGCTTTTGTTTGTTTGTTTGTTTTTGAGACAGGGTCTTGCTGTGTTGCCCAGGCTGGAGTGCAGTGGCACAATCTTGGCTCACCACAACCTCTGCCTCCTGGGTTCAAATGATTCTCCCACCTCAGCCTTCCAGGTAGCTGGGACTACAGACACACGCCACCACGCCCAGCTAATTTTTGTATTTTTAGTAGAGATGGGGCTTCACTACGTTGGCCAGGCTGGTCTTGAACTCCTGACCTTGTGATCCACCGGCTTCAGCCTCCCAAAGTGCTGGGAATACAGGCATAAGCCACTGTGCCCGGTGTCTGCTTTTGTTTTTTTTGTTTTTTTTTTGAGACGGAGTCTCGCTCTGTCGCCCAGGCTGGAGTGCAGTGGCCGGATCTCAGCTCACTGCAAGCTCCGCCTCCTGGGTTTACGCCATTCTCCTGTCTTAGCCTCCCGAGTAGCTGGGACTACAGGCGCCCGCCACCTCGCCCGGCTGGTTTTTTGTATTTTTTAGTAGAGACGGGGTTTAACCATGTTAGCCAGGATGGTCTCGATCTCCTGACCTCGTGATCCGCCCGTCTCGGCCTCCCAAAGTGCTGGGATTACAGGCTTGAGCCACCGCGCCCGGCTGCTTTTGTTTTTAAGACATGAAGGGGTCCTGTGCTTCAGGCATGGAAGAGGTCTTCAGGTCTTCACATTGCCTTTCTCCAGTGACTCTGGGCTCTCTGACCCCACACCTTTCACCAAACCCATTTGGATCGGACAGGTTTTTATATGTGTGCATGTTTGGGTGCATGCGTGGGATTCTGTGTGTGCATGTGTGTATACAGGCGTGAGATTTTGTGTGTGTGTATGCATGTGTGTATGTGATCTCTTGATCTCTTGCTTCACAGCTGCCCATACCTTAACTTCTTCCTCGTAAGCTTCACTGCACCATTCTTCCCAAGATCTAGCAGCATCTCAACCGTTGGGTCACCCTGGACTCTTGCTGTCGATTGCTTGTTCTAGTCTTACTTCAGGGTTCAGTCCTGATAGGACACACACAGATCACTGTGTAGACGTATGCAGGGTATTGTCATTTCATTTGTACAGTTTTCATTTTGTAGGCAGTTTTATTCGTTTGTTAATACTGCAGTGACAAACTAATGCAGATTTGGTGGTTTAAAACAGCACAAATGGATTATCTTACAGTTCTGGAGGTCACAAATCCAAATGGGTTTCAAACTGTGCTAAAATCAGGGTGGCATTGGGGCTGGCTCCTTCCAGAGTCTTTGGGTGAAAACTCTTCTCCGTGCCTTTTCTAGCTTCTAGAGGCCACCACAGGCCTCAGCTCCTGGCTCCTTTTTCGGTCTTAAGAATGGTAACCACAGCAGGTTGAGTCCTTCTCACGGTGCATCATCATCCCAGCTTTTCTCTCTCTAGCTTAGTTAAGGAAAGTATTTAAATTGAACATACCCAGATAATCCAGGATAATCTCTCTTCTGAAGCCCATCTGATTAGTAACCTCAAGTCCCTTGGCTGTGTAACCTAATGTTTGCAGAGGTTCTGGGGATGAGCATGTGGACATCTTAGGGAGAGTGTTACTCTGTCCCCAGTGTGCCCTGGGGTATTTAGACTCCTCACCATTCAGCTAATAGTACTATTTTATGTAATTGGTACAAAAGGGCAATGCTGGGTGCTCTGTAATCATTTAGAAGTGAGAGAAACAAGATGACTTTTTGAGTGTTATCCTCTAAAATGGACACACTGGATTAGAGAAGAGATGTCTGTTTCTTCCACAGTTACTTGAAAGAAATTTTGGTGCAATGCCTACAGGAAGTTACAACTGATGTTTCAGCATTTGACATAATGTATCCAAAGCAGAATCTATGCTTCTCCCCTGCCTAACCTGTTCTGCCCCAGCTCAGAAAGGGAGGTATCTTGTTGTTCAGGCCAGAAAGCTAGGAGCCACTCCTGATTCCTCAAATTCCTCTTCAGCAACCAACCCGTACTGGCTTCCATCAGTCCTAGCTCAGAAATAACGTGTGGTGTCCATTTGCTTAAACCCTGCTCTTAGGCTCCAGCACCAATGATCTTTTGAAAAATAGAAGTTTTAAATTTGTAAATATTTTGTTAAAGTTTTTGTTCATCCTTCTTGATATTTTTATATATCTAAGCATTACTATTTTTGTTGTCTCAGCATCCTCATCCTCTTGGCAAAAAAATCCTCTAGTCCCTGGATTTCCTCTGGACTACCACCCTTCTCCCTCTGCTGGCCAGGACTCAATAGAGAGGTCTGTGTCTCAGGCCTGACTTCTTGGCATCATTTCATCCTTCTGATTACATGATTAATTCAGACATGGAAAGTGTCTCAGACAGGCCCAAACTCATGAGAAATGTTCAAGGATCAATGGAAAGAGAGGCTTTCTTCCCCAGCACGCTGCAATGTGAGAGGCCACGCTTGGGCGCTGTTGGCCGTCTTTTTGCCACCGCATAGGAACAGACAATGAGCAGCACCTAGACAGGTGGAGCTGAGGGTTGGGGAGACCAGGGGGCTGTCCTGACGGTGTTGATGAAGCTGCTGTAGCCAGTCATGTGCTAACCTTTTAATTACACATTAAATGCCTTTTCTTTCCATCGGATTAGGTCGAGCTTGCTTTCTGAGACACGAAGTAAACATTTTTCAATGTCATTTTAAAAAACATCTGCATTGTATTCCACTCAACGTAAGAACCATTGCTACATTTCATATTACAATCAATGTTACGATGGACAGCCTTGAAGAAATAAATTTTGGAAAAGGTAGAATGATACTTGTTATAAATTTATGAAAGTAGAATTTTTGATTGCCAGATAAGTTTATGTCAATTTATTCTCTTACCAGCAGTGTATGTGGAAATGTTTCTGTGTGTGCGCGTTCATGATTTATTTATTTGTTTATTTTTTTGGGACGGAGTTTCGCTCTTGTCGTCCAGGCTGGAGTGCAATGGCGCAATTTCGACTCACTGCATCCTCAGCCTCCCAAGT